CCGGCCCGCAGCCCCTGAGCGCGTCTTAAAGAGGTTGGCCAACAGGCGCAGACATGCACGGAGACCCACCCGCCGCCCGGCCGCGGCGCTGGCCTCTCTCTCTGCGTCCAGTCCGGGACGCTCTGGCTACCCCCGAGCAGCCCGGGACCCGGCCTGCTGCCGCCCCCACGTCCCCGTTACCTGTGCAGCGCTGCTCGGCGAGGTCCGCCCGGTGGCCCTGCCGCACTCCCGCACACCGGGCTCCAGCAGGAAAAGGGCGGCTCACAGCGGCTGCACTCCTGGGGGCCCTGGCACTGCAGACAGTGGCTGCCACAGCCTGAAAGACACAAACGGGGTGAGCCGGGACACCTGTGGCCTTCCCAGGGGGCCCGGTCTTCCCGGCAAGACGGCACAGCCGGTGTCTGGGCAGAGCACTGTCACGGCGGCCCCGGAGCCTGGCTCTGCTCGCGACTCCGATCCCAGCCGGCTGGGTGGGCTGGGACCCGCTCCTCCACCTCTTGAGCTTCAGAGCTCCTCCCTGCAAAACGGGCACCGAGACCCACGGCCCGGCCCCGCCCTGGGGGGGAGCAATCTAACTCCTTTCAGACGGCTCTCGAGTTTTCCCAATCTGCCCAGCCCTTCCCCTGGGGTGCAAGGAGAGCACCTCGTAGAGACCCACCGAAAGCTTGTCAGGTGACACAAAGCAGCGCTGAACCTACTGCATTCATTCCAGCGAGCGGAAGAAATAATCTCCTGAAGAGCCTGCAGGTTTGTGCGCCCACGGGAAAAGGAGCCAATCTACACACTTAACCTAAATTTCCTTTGGCCCTCTTCACAGAGGAAATGTTGTACCAATACCCCACTTAAAAAAAAAGTATGAGGGGCTTTAACTGCTTAATTAGTGGCTTAATTGTTTTTGTAAACTAAAATGTTATAATTATTGGGAAAAAAATGACACTCGTGAAATCCATTATCTGTAGTCATGATGATTAAATAACGTGCAGGCCGGGCACGGTGGCTCACGCCTGTCATCCCAGCACTCTGGGAGGCCGAGGCGGGAGATCGCTCGAGGTCAGGAGTTCGAGACCAGCCTGAGCAAGAGCGAGACCCCCGTCTCTACTAAAAATAGAAAGAAATTAATCGCCAACTAATATATATAGAAAAAAATGAGCCAGGCACGGTGTGGTGGCGCATGCCTGTAGTCCCAGCTACTCGGGAGGAGGCTGAGGCAGGAGGATCGCTTGAGCCCAGGAGTTGGAGGTTGCTGTGAGCGAGGCTGACGCCACGGCACTCACTCTAGCCCGGGCCACACAGTGAGACTCTGTCTCACAAACAAAAAAAATCCCAAACCGTGACCGGGCTCCGGCGAGCCCTCTTGCCCTCGGCCCCTCGGCAGTGGCTCCTGGGGTCGCGGTCCCCAAACCTGGCTCAGGGTAACCTTCTCGCAAACATTTCCGAGTCCGGAATATTCCGACCACACGCGCGCTCGCCGGGCGGGGAGAGGGGCCCCCTCCGGGGGGACTTACTTCTGCAGAGGCCGCCGCCGTCCCGGTAGTGCGCGGCCCCGCACGGCTCCACGCAGGCCCCATCCTGCAGCACGAGCCCGTCCATGCAGCCCAGGCAGTCCGTGCGCAGTGGCCCGCTGCAAGCCTCGCAGCTCCAGTCGCACTCTGCAAGGAGAGTCTGCCTGAGACCCGCCCCACCCGGCCACCTGCCCCCGCCCGGCCACCTGTCCCCGCCTGGCCACCCGCTCCTCCTCCCCAAGCCAGTCGTCCTTGGGTCGGCCGGCCGGGACCCAGAGTCTGCAGAACGGGAGCCCGTTGCTCCTTCCCGCAACGGGCAGGACGGGGTATGGGAAACCCCGTTTTGCTGCCATCATTGCTTTCCTTGCTATGATCATTACGGATGGTGTCGCTATTGCTGTTATTTTTCATTTTATTTTATTTCCAGCATATTGTGGGGGTACAAGTGTCAAGGTCACGTATATTGCCCTTGGCCTCCCCTCGCATCTCGAGTCAGAGCCTCAAGCGTGCCCATCCCCCAGACGGTGCACGTCTCACTCGTCGTGTCTGTCTACACCCGTCCCCTCCTCCCCTCCCACCTGCCCGACACCCGACAGATGTCACTCCTGTGTGTCCACTTAGGTGCTGATCCGTCAACACCAGTTTGCTGGTGAGCGCACGCGGTGCTTGTGTTTCCATTCTCGGGACGCTTCCCTTAGTAGGATGGGCTCCAGCTCCAGCCAGGGTATGCTGTTGTCTTTTTATTTTTTTTGTATTTTCCCAGGCTAGAGTGAGTGTTGTGGCATCAGTCTAGCTCACAGCAACCTCAGACTCCTGGGCTCAAGCGATCCTCCTGCCTCAGCCTCCACCCAAGTAGCTGGGACTATAGGCATGCGCCACCACGCCCGGCTAATTTTTTATTCTATATATATTAGTTGGCCAATTAATTTCTTTCTATTTTTTAGTAGAGATGGGGGTCTCGCTCTTGCTCAGGCTGGTTTTGAACTCCTGACCTCGAGTGATCCTCCTGCCTCGACCTCCCAGAGTGCTGGGATGACAGGCGTGAGCCACCATGCCCGGTCTGCTGTTGTCTTTAATGGCCCAGGCATTTCCGATGCAGCCAGAAAACTCACGTTGGGGAGCCAGTGTTCTGGCTGATAAGGTGAACCCTCCACACTAAGAAGTGGGGCTGAGATGGCACGGTTAAGTTCGTGGGTTTTGAAAGAGTGCGGCAAATCTGTACTCAAAATCGTGGCTTTATCCGACACTCTGTCCTGAAACTTTTGAACCTCAGATTTACCATCTCTAAAATAGGGATAGAAAGAGCACCCACCGCATAGGGCTATTGCAAAGATTAAATGAAATGATGAAGGTAAAGAATTTAGCACAGTGCCTGGCGGAATACCATGTTTCCCGGAAAATAAGACCCACCCATGTCTAAGAGTGCACCCAATAGAAGCCCTAACCTGAAAACAGCTCTAGTGGTGGGCGTGGCTATGAAAAAAAATCAGCCCTAGTGATGGGTGTGGCCATGAAAATATCAGCCCATGATGGGCGTGGCTATGAAAATCAGCCCCCGTGATGGGCGTGGCTATGAAAAATCAGCCCTAGTGGTGGGCGTGGCTATGAAAATCAGCCCCGGTGATGGGCGTGGCTATGGAAATAAGCCCCAGTGATGGGCGTGGCTATGAAAACCAGCCCTAGTGATGGGCGTGGTTATGAAAACCAGCCCTAGTGATGGGCGTGGTTATGAAAATCAGCCCTAGTGACGGGCGTGGCTGCTCAGCGCACCTGCACAACCCATGCATGTCATCATGGAGCGGGAAAGAACACGAGCAGCCCTTCTCATCCGCCCCGTGAGAGCTCTAGTGCTCGACAGGAGAGATCGGGGCCGGTGGCTCTAAAGGAAACAGAGTCGCAAGACATTCAGGATGGGATTCGGGGTCTGGAGAGTGAGGATTATGTTCCAGAAGAAGACGACCTCACTGTATTTGAATCAATGTAGATGGTTGTACCGTACTTAAAATAAAAATAACACATCCCCTGAAAATAAGCCCTAGGGTGTCTTCTGGAGGAAAAATAAACATGAGACCCTGTGTTATTTTTGGGAAAACACGGTAGCAACAGCTCAATAAATGTTTGCTGCTGAATTGTTTTCATAGGGGACATGTCTCCCCTCAGGGCCACCTCAATCCCTCCTCCTTTTGGCACTAAGAAGCTGAGGAAACCTCTCCTTAGTCACCTTTCTCTAACTGGATACAATATTATTTCTACGTCCTGCAGGAGCAGGTAAACCTGCAAGTCCGTGCACGTGCTTCCAAGAAGATTTCCCAGGTTAATCCCACTAAAACAGAGCCCTGGAAACTGCCGACACAGCTATGAAATCATTGACAACAGGCCGGATTTGTGGTAATCTTGTTTTCCACCACACACTGACAGCCCCTGGTTAGAAGGAAAAAAACCAGACAAGCTTCTGTGGTTTGGAGCTCAGTGGACCACCCGAGTTGACAACTGAGGACTGAACTCTGATCTTTTTCTTTTGCTCAAAACTCCTTCCCAAGGAGGCCAGCTGGGTCAGGCTGACAAATGGTCAATTCCCACTGAGCGGCTTTTGTTAACCAAATAAACCGGTGGCTGACTTCCCAACCTGATTCCGGTATGGCATTAACATCACCTAAAAGATAATGGGAAGGCCCTGTCTTAACTCAAGCATCCTAGTAGATGCCTATCATAAATTTAAAACACCCTCCTGCCTGACCTCCCAGAGTGCTCACACAGTTATCTTAAATTAAGGGTATCCTTTCTGGTCTTCTAGATAAAGTCTAACTCTCTCAGCCAATTGCCAGCCAAGAAATCTTTAAACCCACCTGTAACCTGTAAGCCCCTGCTTGGAGATGTCCCACCTTTTTGGGCCAAACCAATGTCTGCCTCTCGTGTATTGATTTGTGACTTTGCCCGTAAACCCCTGTCTCTCTGAAAATGCATAAAACCGAACCGTGACCCAGCCACAGCGAGCCCACTTCCCCAAGGCCTCTTGGCAGTGGCTCCGGGTCGTGGTCCTCAAGTTTGGCTCAGAATAAACTTCTTTCAAATATTTCAGGGTTTGGATTTTTTTTTCCGTCCACCCAACCAAGTAGGATTTCTCGGGATGGAAAGCGTGCAATTTTGCAGGGCCTGAAAGCATCCCGTGTTTACCGGACAGACGTTTGACCTGCACACCTGGGCTCCGGTTTCTCCGCCAGAGCAAGAGGGATGCAGGCAGATGAGGAAGGAGAAGGGAAGGAAGAGGGGAAATATGTAAGATCAAGAAAAATGTGTTAAACAACCCAGGTGCCCATCCATGCACCAGTGGATTAATAAAACGTGGTCTGTGTGCACCACGGAGCACTACTCAGCTCTAAGAAACAGCGGTGATCCAGCACCTCTTGTGTGTTCCTGGCTGGAGCTGGAGCCCATCCTACTAAGGGAAGTGTCCCGAGAATGGAAACACAAGCACCACGTGCGCTCACCAGCAAACTGGTGTTGACGGATCAGCACCTAAGTGGACACACAGGAGTGACATCTGTCGGGTGTCAGGCAGGTGGGAGGGGAGGAGGGGACGGGTGTAGACAGACACGACGAGTGAGACGTGCACCGTCTGGGGGATGGGCACGCTTGAGGCTCTGACTTGCGGGGGGGCGGCGGGGGGCAGGGGCAATGTATGTGACCTTGACATTTGTACCCCCATGATATGCTGAAAGAAAGGAAAGAAAGAAAGAAAAAAAGAAAAAAAGAAAGAAAGAAAGAAAGAAAGAGAGAAAGAAAAAGAGAGAGAGAAAGAAAGAGAGAGAGAAAGAAAAAGAGAGAGAGAAAGAAAGAAAAAGAAAGAAAGGAAGAAAGAAAGAGAAAGAAGAGAGAGGAAGAAAGAAAGAGAAAGAAAGAAAGAGAGAGAGAAAGAGAGAAAGAAAGAAAGAAAAAGAGAGAAAGAAAGAAAGAGAAAAAGAGAGAGAAAGAGAAAGAAAGCAAAAGAGAGAGAGAGAAAGAGAGAAAGAAAGAGAGAGAAAGAAAGAAAAAGAAAGAAAGGAAGAAAGAAAGAGAAAGAAGAGAGAGGAAGAAAGAAAGAGAAAGAAAGAAAGATAGAGAGAAAGAGAAAGAAAGAAAGAAAAAGAGAGAAAGAAAGAAAGATAGAGAGAAAGAGAAAGAAAGAAAGAAAAAGAGAGAAAGAGAAAGAAAGAGAGAACAAAAGAAAAGAAAGAAAGAAAGAAAAGAACGAAAGAACGAACGAATGAAATAAAGATAGATAGATGTGTTCTTTCCCTCTGTTTTCATTGTGTTTTGTTTTTGAGAGGGTCCCACTTTGTCTCGGGGGCTGGGGCTTCACCTTTGCAGGTGTTGGTGGGGAAGTCGAGGTAGTGCTGCGGGGGGCAGCCCTCGTCCCGGCACTCCCCGAAGAGCAGGACCTTGCGGGGGTCCCGGCAGGAGGTGCAGCTGGCCGGGCCGTCGCAGCTGTGGCAGTGGGGGCCGCAGGCTGAGCAGACAGAGGGCGGGGAAGGAAAGGACCAGGTGGTTAGGACGCAGGCAGGGACGCACCCAGACACCCAGACACCTGCCGCACGGCAGCCAGCCCCGCCCCGCCCGGCTCGTCAACCCTAACCCTGTGATCCACGGAAACAGATATTCGTTTGATTTTCCAGAACAAGAAAGGGCAACCTTATTTTCCAGAGAAGATAAATGACAAACCCCCCAGATGGAAACCCTACATCCAAATCGCCCTGCGACTCAGCAACAGAGTTTATGCTTATTCTAGACCAGGGGTCCTCAGACTTTTTAAACAGGGGGAGGCCTGTTCACCGACCCTCAGACCTTCAGAGGGCCCGACTATAGTTAAAAAAACAACAACAACAACAAAAAAAACGATGCACAAATTCCTATGCACACGGCACAGATCTTATTTTGAAGTTAAAAAAAAAAAAAAAGGGCAAAAACCGACGCCCGCATGTGGCCCGAGGGCCGCAGTTTGAGGACGCCTGCTCAGAGGTCTCTGGAATTATAATTCAGAATTTGAGCCTTAGTTCTTTTTTTTTGAGGCAGAGTCTCGCTCTGTCGCCCGGGCTACAGTGAGTGCTGTGGCGTCAGCCTCGCTCACAGCAACCTCCAACTCCTGGCCTCAAGCGATCCTCCTGCCTCAGCCTCCTCCCGAGTAGCTGGGACTACAGGCATGCGCCACCACGCCCGGCTAATTTTTTTTCTATGTACTTTCACTCTAGCCTGGGCAACAGGGTGAGACTCCGACTAAAATAAAATAAAATAAAATAAAATAAAATAAAATGAATCAAAATAAAATGAATCAAAATAAAATGAAATAAAATGAAACAAAATAAAATAAAATAAAATGAAACAATAAAATGAAACAAAATAAAATAAAATAAAATGAAACAAAATAAAATGAAACGAAATAAAACAAAATAAAATAAAATAAAAAGAAACAAAATAAAATAAAATGAAACAAAATAAAATAAAATAAAACGAAACAAAATAAAATAAAATAAAACGAAACAAAATAAAATGAAATAAAATGAAACAAAATGAAACAAAATAAAATGAAATAAAACGAAATGAAACAAAACAAAATGAAATAAAATGAAACAAAATAAAATAAAATAAAATGAAACAAAATAAAATGAAATAAAATGAAACAATAAAAAGAAACAAAATAAAATAAAATAAAATGAAACTAAATAAAACAAAATAAAATAAAATAAAAAGAAACAAAATAAAATAAAAAGAAACAAAATAAAATAAAATAAAATGAAACAAAATAAAATAAAATAAAATGAAACAAAATAAAATAAAATAAAATGAAACAAAATAAAATGAAATAAAATGAAACAAAATAAAATAAAATAAAACGAAACAAAATAAAATAAAATAAAACGAAACAAAATAAAATGAAATAAAATGAAACAAAATAAAATAAAATAAAACGAAATGAAACAAAACAAAGTGAAATAAAATGAAACAAAGGCTACCGGGCGGGGACAGGGAAGGGAGAACCTCAGCCCTTTCGTGGCCCGCAGGCCGGGAGGGAGAGGCAGCCGTCTGAGAACCTACGCTGGCAAGCGCGGCTGCCGTCCAGGTAGTGCCCAGGGAAGCAGGTGGGGCTGCAGGTGCCCAGGTGGGACAGGACGAGGCTGGCCTGGCAGGAGGAGCAGGAGAAGGGGCCCGGCCCGCGGCAGGCCCTGCAGGAGGAGTGGCACCCTGCGGAGGGAGAGAGACAGTCACGCCCGGCCGATGCCCGCCCAGAGCACGTCCCCAGCACTGGCCACAAAAGGCCCCGCCGTGGGGGCGTCTGCCGCCCGTGTGGCTTGCGGAGCCGAAGCCTCGGGGAGTCGCTTTCTGCTGTCCTCCGGGAGTCCCGGCCTCCGCCACTGCCCCAGAGAGACCCTCACAGGGAGGCCGCAGCACCTACTGTTTTTTTGTTTTGCTTTGTTGTTTTGAGACAGAGTCTCATTGTGTCGCCCAGGCTAGAGTGAGTGCCGTGGCGTCAGCCTCGCTCACAGCAACCTCCGACTCCTGGGCTCAAGCGATCCTCCTGCCTCAGCCTCCTCCCTAGTAGTAGCTGGGACTACAGGCATGGGCCACCACGCCCGGCTCATTTTTCCTATATATTTTCAGTTGTCCAATTAATTTCTTTCTATTTTTGGTAGAGACGGGGGGTCTCACTCTTGCTCAGGCTGGTCTCGAACTCCTGACCTCGAGCGATCCTCCCGACTAGGCCTCCCAAGTAGCTGGGACTACAGGCACGCGCCACCATGCCCGGCTCATTTTTTCTATATATTTTCAGTTGTCCAATTAATTTCTTTCTATTTATAGTAGAGACGGGGTCTCACTCTTGCTCAGGCTGGTCTTGAACTCCTGACCTCCAGCAATCCGCCCGCCTCGGCCTCCCAGAGTGCTGGGATTACAGGCCTGAGCCACCGCACCCGGCCTCGGCTCTTAAAGAACACACAGAAGAGCTATCAGGAAATGGCCGGGCAACTTCTGGTCTCAAACTCCTGAGCTCAAGCGATCCTCCTGCCTCAGCCTCCCGAGTAGCTGGGACTACAGGCATGCGCCACCACGCCCCGGCTAATTTTTCTATATATATTTTTAGTTGTCCATTTAATTTCTTTCTATTTTTTTTAGTAGAGACAGGGTCTCGTCTTGCTCAGGCTGGTCTCCGACTCCTGACCTCGAGAGATCCTCCCGCCCCGGCCTCCCAGAGTCCCGGGACCACAGGCGTGAGCCACCGCGCCCGGCCCGGCCGGCAGCACTTACTCTCACAAGCTCCCCTCTGCTCGTGGTATCCGGAAGGGCAGGCGGGAACGCAGAGGTCCCCGAGCGGCAGGTGGCCGGGGTCCCGGCACTGCAGGCAGAGGCTGCCGTCTGGGCTGTGGAGGTTGGCGGTGCAGAGCTGGCACAGCGGGTGGCAGTCTGCAGGGAGCAGGAGGGCAGAGAGAGGGCACGGGCGCTGGTGAGCACAGAGCCCGGTCTGTGCCCCCAGGGGAAGAAAGGGTTCCGGTTACGGACACGGCGGCACAGACGGCCGAGCCGGCTAAGGACACCAGGCGTCAGGAGAGCAAGGCCTGGGCCCTGCAGAACCTGTCTCACATTTGCAGCAAACGGCCAGGCCCAGCGCAGGGACTGAGCTTTATTTTATTTATTTTATTTATTTATTTTATTTTATTTTAATATAATTTAATTTTATTTATATTTTATTTATATTTTATTTTATTTTATTTTATTTTATTTTATTTTATTTTGAGACAGAGTCTCACTCTGTCGCCCAGGCCAGGCCCCGCACAGACACTGAGTTATTTTATTTTATTTTATATTTTATTTTATTATTTTATTTTATTTTATTTTATTTTGAGACAGAGTCTCACTCTGTCGCCCAGGCCAGGTCCAGCACAGGGACTGAGTTTTATTTTATTTTATTTTATTTTGAGGCAGAGTCTCACTCTGTCGCCTGGGCTAGAGTGAGAGCCGTGGTGTCAGCCTCGCTCACAGCAACCTCAGACTCCTGGGCTCAAGCGATCCTCCTGCCTCAGCCTCCTCCCGAGTAGCTGGGACTACAGGCATGCGCCACCACGCCCGGCTAATTTTTTGTCTATATATTTTTTAGCTGTCCAGCTAATTTCTTTCTAATTTTAGTAGAGAGGGGGGGTCTCGCTCTTGCTCAGGCTCATCTCGAACTCCTGACCTTGAGCGATTTGCCTGCCTCAGCCTCCCAGAGTGCTAGGATGACAGGCGTGAGCCGCCGCACCCGGCTCATTTTTTCTATATATTTTTAGTTGGCCAATTAATTTCTTTCTATTTTTATAGTAGAGATGGGGGGGTCTCACTCTTGCTCAGGCTGGTTTCGAACTCCCAACCTCGAGCAATCCTCCGGCCTCGGCCTCCCAGGGTGCTAGGATTACAGGCGTGAGCCACCACGCCCGGCTCATTTTTTCTATATATTTTTAGTTGGCCAATTAATTTCTTTCTATTTTTATAGTTGAGACGGGGGTGGGGGAGTCTGGCTCTTGCTCAGGCTGGTCTCGAACTCCCGACCATGAGCGATCCTCCGGCCTCGGCCTCCCAGAGTGCTGGGATGACAGGCGTGAGCCACCTCGCCCGGCCCGGATTGAGTTTTCATCCCTCTCCGACTGAACGACCTTCGAGTACTAAAGCACCGAGTGACGGATAGTCGCTCCAGGTACAGGGAGAACTGCCAGACCAACAGGAGGACCAGTAGGACCAACATCCCCCCCAGAGCCCTGAGAACTGGGGTGCAGTGGGCCCCCCCGCAAGGTTCCTTCTCCCAAACATGGCAACCAATGCTCAGTGAACCAGTCTAAGCCTTTGGGATGGAGGGGCTGGGGTTAACTGGACTGAGTCGCTGTAGAATTTTTGTCTTAACATCCGTGTTTCCCTGAAAAAAAGCCCTAGCCTTAGAATAAGCCCCAGCAGGATGTCTGAGCACCTGGGAAACGGAAGCCCTACCAGGAAAATCAGCCCTAGTGATGGGCGTGGCTATGAAAATCAGCCCTAGTGATGGGCGTGGCTATGAAAATCAGCCCTAGTGACGGGCGTGGCTGCGCAGCGCATCTTCACAACCCATGCGAGTCGTCGCGGAGCGGGAAAGAACACGAGCAGCCCTTCTCATCCGCCCCGTCGTCGTCACAGCTGTTGTCCCAGAGGTTACGGGAAAGGTGCGGGCAGCCCCACCAACAAGGTCGGCTCCCCCTGTCGGGTCCCGGCCATCCTGTCCCTGCTGCAAGCTGAGGCTTCGAGGTGAAAATAACTCATGCCCTGGAAATCAGCCCTAGGGTGTCTTCTTGAGCAAAAATAAATAGAAGACCCTGTCTCATTTTCGGGGAAACACGGCAGAGGTAAAGTCACGAAGAAGAGTTGCGCGTCGAGACGTTGTTGTTACGGCCCGATGCAGAGTTCCCAGGGGCTCTGCTGCACCAGCTGGGATTAGAGCCACAAAACAGCGTTGTCTCTTGCCCTCTCTCACATAACAGTTGTCCTTTAATAAGAAAACCTGACTGTGGTCAGCTCTAGAAGGTGGCAATTTCATCAGTCCCGCTCTGGAGCGTCAGTCCCCCTTCAAGTCGCACTCACCACCCACCCTTCATTCCAGAGGCAAGGGGAAATGCACAGATCCCGAATTACTGAGGACTGAACTCTTAATTTTTTGCTAAAAACTCCTTCCTAAGGAGGCCAGCTGGGCTAGGCTGACAAACGGTAAATTCCCACTAAGCGGCTTTTGTTAACCAAACGAAGCAGTGGTTTGCTTCCTGACCTGATTCTGGTATGGCATTAACATCACCTAAAAGATTAGAAGCCCCTGTCTTAACTCAAGCATCCTGGCAGGCGCCTATCATAAATTTAAACCATCTTAAAACATCCTAGCAGGCGCCTATTGTAAATTTAAAGTGTCCTCCTGTCTGGACCTCCCAGAGTGCTCATACCCTTATCTTAAAGTAAGCATATCCTTTCTGGTCTTCTAGATAAAGACTAACTCTCTCAGACAATTGTCAGCCAAAGAATCTCTAAACCCACCTATAATCTGTAAGCCCCCGCTTCGAGATGTCCCACCTTTTTCGGCCAAACCAATGTCTGCCTCTCATGTATTGATTTGTGACTTTGCCTGTAACCCCTGTCTCTCTGAAAATGTATAAAACTGAACCGTGACCCAGCCACAGCGAGCCCACTTGCCCAAGGCCTCTTGGCAGTGGCTCCGGGTCATGGTCCTCAAATCTGGCTCAGAATAAATCTCTTTAAAATTATTTTACAGAGTTTGGCTTTTTTTCCGTCGACATTACCCACCAAAAGGAAAAGGGAGTCAAGATCTCGGAGAGGAGAGGGTTCCGATCACAGGGCCGCCCCACCTGCCCCTGCAGGGTGCAAAGCACCCGCTGGCACTCGCCAACGATGCACCACCACGCCGGGCCCAGACACGTCTTGTTTCATTCCAAGGCTTTGTAGACAGAGATCGTGATTCCCAGCGATATTTTCACTAAACAAAATCCGCGTTGGTAAAACAGATCGCCTGATTCTGAAATATCCTAAAGCAAGTCTTCTTCTCTCTATGGTCCCGGTGATACTTTTTTTTTTTTTGAGACAGAGTCTGGCTCTGTCGCCCGGGCTAGAGTGAGTGCTGTGGCGTCAGCCTCGCTCACAGCAACCTCAGACTCCTGGGCTCAAGCGATCCTCCTGCCTCAGCCTCCTCCTGAGTAGCTAGGATGACAGGCATGCACCAGCATACCTGGCTAATTTTTTCTATATATATATTTTTAGTTGGCCAATTAATTTCTTTCTATTTATAGTAGAGACGGGGTCTCGCTCTTGCTCAGGCTGGTTTCGAACTCCTGACCTCGAGGGATCCTCCTGCCTCGGCCTCCCAGAGTGCTGGGATGACAGGCGTGAGCCACCGCGCCCGGCCTAGAAGTATTTTTGAATTCTGATTCCTACTCTGTGCTTGAGCCCTTGGCTTCAATTTTCCTCGACATGAAGCACTCCGCAGTCAAGAGACCCAAACTCCTGAAGGCAAATCCTTGAATTTTGCACGGTGCCAGAGTATCATGGAGAATTGTGCCTATTTAAAACAACCTGGTTTTCTTTAATTCCACTGGGTCTGATTTGCCTCCCAAAATGAGGGGGAAGATTGATACTATGACTGAGAAAATACAAATTTAACATGTATAAGGAGCCTTCAATCTCCTAAATTCTTAAGAAACAACAATGAATAAATTATAAAACCCTGCCGTGAAACAATGCTAACAGCATGACAACACCCATGGTTTTAGCTTTTTAAAAAATGCGCCCGGCCGATACTTTCTTAATTCCCGATCATCCGGCTGTGTTCCTAGGTGGAGAAGCAGACCTCACTCCCGTCCCCGGCTCCCCGGCGCGAGAACCCTTTCTGGGGTCTCTATAGCTCCGACGGAAGTTAATCCGGAAGAATCCTCTTCAAAAACGCGGATGCTTCCAGAAGCAGCACAGAAACGGACAGCCCCCGACCTTCCTCTGAACTTGGGGAGCTTGGAATGACAAGCAGCCCTTTGCCGAGGCTAGGAGCAATTCGTGATACCCCAGGGGCCCGGTTAACCCTCATCACAGCCCTTCAGTAAACCGCAAAGGAAGCGATGACCGCATGGAGGGAACTAGGGTGAGGAGGAGGCGATTTCCTTCCGACCTGGCGCGTGGGGTCCACACGACGCCTGGCATTTTGTTCTCTTCTCTGTGCCAGGAGCACAGCTCCGGGCGTGCGAAGAGAAACCCAAGAAGCTCTGAGAGCCTCAAGAGCAAACGGAGAAAAGAGGGTGCTTTGCGACCACCTAGCGCGTGGTTAAATGTGGGGACTGCAAACCCAGAAAACGAAGCTGTGTTATTTGAAAAGCCGGGGCCCCTTCCCCTCCAGAGCAAACGCTCTCGGAGCTCTGAACCCGGGCAGGCGCCGACAGGACCCGCAGGTGGGCCGCGGTCTGAGGGCTGGCCGAGTCTGACAGCAGTCTCTCTGGCGTGCAGTCAGACAGATGCAAAACCGATAACCACCAGGGGAGGCTTTGAAGAGACAGTGGGCAGATCCCGGCGGCACCTTGAGGGTGCAATAAAGGAGCATTTGCGGATTTGTGTGATCTCAGGGATCTCTGTTTATTTAGTTATTTATTTTTTGAGACAGAGTCTCGCTTTGTTGCCCGGGCTAGAGTGAGTGCCGTGGCGTCAGCCTCGCTCACAGCAACCTCCAACTCCTGGGCTCAATCGATCCTCCTGCCTCAGCCTCCCTCCCAAGTAACTGGGACTACAGGCACGCACCACCACGCCCGGCTAATTTTTTCTATATATTTTTAGTTGGCCAATTAATTTCTTTCTATTTTTGGTAGAGACGGATGGAGTCTCGCTCTTGCTCAGGCTGGTCTCGAACTCCCGACCTCGAGCGATCCTCCCGCCTCGGCCTCCCAGAGTGCTGGGATGACAGGCGTGAGCCGCCTGCGCCCGGTGGTTTAGTAGAAGTCACACGGAGGAGAAAAATACAAGTTCTCCTTTTTCTCATTCAGGAAGGACTCAATTTAAGCCTAGCGCATGTCCTTTTTCCACTGAAAGGAAAAGCTCAAAACAAAAGTGCCTTGAACTATTCAATCATCCCTCCGCAGACACTGCGATCTCTCGAATAAAACACAGGCCGGGAGGACGAGGAAGAGGCAATCACTGAAAGTTCAGCAGAGGGAGCGGATATGCAATTCACAGTTCAAGCAGTAAGAGATAGGGTGACAAGATGAGAAATAAGAAACGAAAGTGCATTATGGAAAAAAAAAAAGAGAAGATAAGGAAAATGAAGAAGCAAGTGTTAAGGGGGAACAAAAAAGAAGACTCAAGAAAATTGAAAAAATACAGAGATAGAAGAACAGGGCCAGACGGAACAAAGAGGAAGGTGGAAAAGAAGAGATAACAACCGAAATGCGGCTCGCACTGAGATCCTTGGATTCATTCCCACGTGATGCAGCAGAGGAGGGACAAGACCGGACACCAGGGACCCTAATCCGAGCCCCTCATTCCGCCCAGCACCACCCACGCGCTGGTTTGGCACGGCACTGAGCTCTGAATTCCTCAGGAAACAAAACAGGAATTCTTATTTTTATTTATTTATTTATTTTTGAGACAGAGTCTCACACTCTGTCACCCGGGCTAGAGTGAGTGCCGTGGCATCAGCCTCGCTCACAGCAGCCTCCAACTCCTGGGCTAACTTGATCCTCCTGCCTCAGCCTCCTCCCTAGTAGCTGGGACTACAGGCACGCGCCACCACACCTGGCTAATTTTTTCTCTATATATATTTTAGTTGGCCAATTAATTTCTTTGTATTTTTAGTAGAGACGGGGGTCTCCCTCTTGCTCAGGCTGGTCTGGAACTCCTGACCTTGAGCGATCCTCCCGCCTCGGCCTCCCAGAGCGCTAGGATTACATACGGGCACTGTAATCCACCTCGCCCGGCCACAAAAATGGGAATATTCTAGTATTCCTAGTTCTGCAGGAAGGTGTCTTGGGAATGATCAAATGAGAAATGAGAAAATACTTTGGAATGTATAAAACTCCATGAACACACCATTATTGACCTTAATAACGTGGAAAATAAATCCAGTCTCAGCTGCAGCCCTGGAACTCGTATTCCAGCTACCGTGAACCAGGCAGTGAATCTCCTCTTGCCTTCTGTGGCCCTCGTCCATGAGAAATGACCAATTTTTTTGTACAAACACACTGGCATGCTACCGAGCTATTAAAAGCAATAATTAGGCCGGGCGCGGTGGCTCACGCCTGTAATCCTAGCACTCTGGGAGGCCGAGGTCAGAGGATCGCTCGAGGTCAGGAGTTCGAGACCAGCCTGAGCAAGAGCGAGACCCCGTCTCTACTATAAATAGAAAGAAATTAATTGGCCAACTAATACATATAGAAAAAATGAGCCGGGCATGGTGGCTCAGGCCTGTAGTCCCAGCTACTCGGGGGGAGGCTGAGGCAGGAGGATCGCTTGAGCCCAGGAGTCTGAGGTTGCTGTGAGCCAGGCTGACGCCACGGCACTCACTCTAGCCTGGGCAACAGAGCGAGACTCTGTCAAAAAAAAAAAAAAAAGAGGAGGGGAAAAAACAAACCCCCATTTCCTGAGACAACTGATCTCCTTTTTTTTTTTTTTACATATATATATGTATTTTTTTAATATTTTAATCTTTAATTTAATTAAATACTATTTAAATTTTTTCTTTTTTTCTTCGGGGACCTGCCAATTACCTAGACTGTCTAATCTCCTTTTTAGGTTAATCTCCCCAAGATTTTTGTGCCGGCGAAAAGCTTCTCCAAGGCAGGAGGGAGAAGGTGACAGGGACGAGAGGGAGGAAGTCTCTGGAGTGACGGATTTTGAAAACACATTTTGCTGTCTCGAGAGGATGCTGCACAACGTATACAAAGGCACCATCACCACCACTGCATCCTTCGATCCTATGAGATCCTAAGTTGTTGCTCTATTATTTTTATTTTATTTCAGCATATAATGGGGGTATAAATGTCAAGGTCACGTATATTGCCCTTGCCCCCCTCCCCCCTCGAGTCAGAGCCTCAAGCGTGCCCATCCCCCAGACGGTGCACGTCTCACTCGTCGTGTCTGTCTACACCTGTCCCCTCCTCCCCTCCCACCCGCCCGACACCCGACAGATGTCACTCCTGTGTGTCCACTTAGGTGCTGATCCGTCAACACCAGTTTGCTGGCGAGCGCACGTGGTGCTTGTGTTTCCATTCTCGGGACGCTTCGCTTAGTAGGATGGGCTCCAGCTCCAGCCAGGAACACACAAGGGGTGCTGGGTCACCGCTGATTCTCAGAGCTGAGTAGTGCTCCATGGTGTGCACAGACCACGTTTTATTAATCCACTCGTGCATGGATGGGCACCTGGGTTGTTCCCACAGCTTTGCAACTGTGAACTGTGCTGCTATAAACATTTGAGTGCAGGTGTCCTTTTCATAGAGTGACTTTTGTTCTTTTGGGTAGATGCCCAGTCGTGGGATTGCTGGATCAAATGGTGGATCCACTTGTATCGCTTTGAGGTATCTCCATATTGCTTTCCACGGAGGTTGCACCAGTTTGCAGTCCCACCAGCAGTGTAGGGGTGTTCCTCTCTCTCCACATCCACACCACTAAGTTATTGTTTTAAGGACTTGCAAGAATGCTATTAGAAGCTCCACTCAGACACACACGTGTTTGCTAAATGCCGAGGGGAAGCAGGGGGCGGAGTACCCAGACACGAGACAAACACGCCGAGGAAAGGAGCTTGTCCTCATTGGAGGACAAAGAACAAGAGACCCCCACTCCCAACCCCCAGGCCTGGCAGGAAGAGCCAGCAGCTGCCCGGTGATTCTGAGGACCCCGAAGGACCCACTCACCAGCACAGTGTCCCGCGAGGTCCAGGAACTGCCCTTCTCGGCAGCCGGTCCGGCAGCTCCCGCCGCTGAGCGAGGCGTGAGGGTGGCAGGAGATGCAGTCCGATTCCGACGGCCCACGGCACTGTCTGCAGGTCGGGTGGCATTCTAGGCGGGAAACGAAAGTAGGCTTGGAATTGGCGGTTCAGCAGGTACCGTGTTTCCCCGAAAACAAGACCTCCCCATAAAAGGAGCCCCAACAGGATGTCTGAGCATGTGCCCAATAGAAGCCCTACCCCGAAAATCAGCCCTAGTGGTGGGCGTGGCTATGAAAAATCAGCCCTGGTAGTGGGCGTGGCTATGAAAATCAGCCCTAGTGGTGGGCGTGGCTATGAAAATCGGCCCCGGTGGTGGGCGTGGTTATGAAAATCAGCCCTGGTGGTGGGCGTGGCTACGAAAATCAGCCCTGGTAGTGGGCGTGGCTACGAAAATCAGCCCTGGTGGTGGGCGTGGCTATGAAAATCAGCCCTAGTGATGGGCGTGGCTGCGCAGCACATCAGCACGACCCATGCGAGTCGTCGCGGAGCGGGAAAGAACACGAGCAGCCCTTCTCATCCACCTCGTGAGAGCTCTAGTGCTCGACAGGAGAGATCGGGGCCGGTGGCTCTAAAGGAAACAGAGTCGCAAGACATTCAGGATGGGATTCGGGGTCTGGAGAGTGAGGATGATGTTCCAGAAGAAGACGACTTCACCCTATTCGAATCAATGTAGATGGTTGTACCGTACTTAAAAAAATAATAATAACACATCCCCTGAAAATCAGCCCTATGGTGTCTTCTTGAGGAAAGATAAATAAAAGACCCGGTCTTATTTTCGGGGAAACTCGGTAGATGCGTGAAGCATGTGATGCACTCACTCCCCCAATTGCACTGAGAGCAGACCTCAAACTCTAACCACCCTTTTTTTTTTTTGAGACAGAGTCTCACTCTGTTGCCCGGGCTAGAGTGAGTGCCGTGGCGTCAGCCTCGCTCACAGCAACCTCAGACTCCTGGCCTCAAGCAAACCTCCTGCCTCAGCCTCCCTAGTAGCTGGGACGACAGGCATGCGCCACCACGCCCGGCTGATTTTTTTTCTATATATTAGTTGGCCAATTAATTTCTTTCTAGTTTTAGTCGAGACGGGGTCTCGCTCTTGCTCAGGCTGGTTTCGAACTCTTGGCCTTGAGTGATCCTCCTGCCTCGGCCTCCCAGAGTGCTGGGATTACAGGCGTGAGCCACAGCACCCGGCTCTAACCACCCTTTGAAGGTTGCTAGGCAGGCCCCGCACACTCTCGGGCCCCAGCAGGAGACGGGCTTTCTGGAGTCGGTGAGAATCCTGCCCCGGAGCGTTCGTAACCCGCAGTCTAGACCCGTAAATATCTGAGTGATCGGCCACACAGGCCTCCGAGGGACCGGCACGACCTCGCCTGTGTCAATCAATAAGGAGTCTCCAGGCAGAAACTCGGTGGCGAGACTCCCGGCCCTAAACTCCCGAGATTTAGGGAGCGAGCAGGGCAGGGAGGAGAGCTGCCTCTCGGAGCTCCCTGGTGGAGACGTGGCGCCTCTCGCAGGGAGCCACACTCAAGCCTCTCGTGGCCGTGGGACGCCGGCCGGGCCCTCCCTTCCGGCTGCAGCCTGGACGCCCGTTGCATAGGCAAGACTGAATAGAGGCCGGGCGCGGTGGCTCACGCCTGTCATCCCGGCACTCCGGGAGGCCGAGGCAGGAGGATCCCTCAAGGTCAGGAGTTCGAGACCAGCTCTGAGCAAGAGCGAGACCCCGTCTCTACTAAAAATAAAAAGAAATTAATTGGCCAACTAAAAATATATAGAAAAAATGAGCCGGGCGTGGTGGCGCATGCCTGTAGTCCCAGCTACTTGGGAGGCCGAGGCAGGAGGATGGCTCAAGGTCAGGAGTTCCAGACCAGCCTGAGCAAGAGTGAGACCCCGTCTCTACTAGAAATAGAAAGAAATTAATTGGCCAACTAATATATATATATAGAGAAAAAATAGCCGGGCATGGTGGCTCACACCTGTCATCCCAGCTACTCGGGAGGCTGAGGCAGGAGGATCCCTTGAGCCCAGGAGTCTGAGGTTGCTGTGAGCGAGGCTGATGCCACGGCACTCACTCTAGCCCGGGCAACAAAGTGATACTCTGTCTCAAAAAAAAAAAAAAAAAGACTTCAAGGGACAAAAGAGTCCTCTTTCTGGAGCTCATCGTGAGCCCCGTCTGAAGTTCAGTTCCTCAGACCCAAGTTATGTCAAGCTGCGTTGTCGTCTGAGAAAAACCACCGGACGGACGAGAGGTGGGACCCAGAGAGAAACACTCCGAGTGAGTCGCCGTAGGGTGCAGGCGGTGAAGACAGGAAGGGTGGCCGGGAATGAGGGCTGCAGCTGCGCTCGGGCTGCCTTGCCGGCAGCAGGAGCCAGGCACAGAAGGACAAGGGCAAGGACGAGGAGGTCTAAGCTCGTCTGACTCCGGGAGGGTTTGCAGGGAGGGACTGGAGCTGGCCGGGGCTTGCTGGAACCCAAGAATGCCCTCCCTGCACGCGGCCGGCGGAAAGCAGAGGCAACCTGGCAAGAGGCCCAGAGAAGATAAGCAGTTATACCAAAAAAAAAAAAAAAAGCGAAAAGTGAGCAAGAAAATGAATTGCTGATTGGAAGGATAGCAGTGGATAGCACCACCACCCCTCCCACATTCCCGAGGCTCTGAACTTTGCAAAGGTCTCTCCAGGAGATAACTGGCATTCTTGGGATGGTTTCCACTGCCCAGCTCTTCCTCCCTGCCAGAGTTATCCCCAGTGACCCGGGCGCCCCTCTGCTCGAGAACCACCCACGCACACGGCGGGGCGGGCAGAGAAAAGGCAGAGCCGCTCGCTCTTTCCTCCCTGAACAGTTTTACACACGGGAAGAAGACCGGCGGGGCCAGGACGCCGGCACCAGCTCACAAGGACACCCCTGACCACAGAGAAACCGGCCACGTCCCCCCACTGAGCTCCACAGAGTGTTTAAAGCAAAGCAATTCGCCACGATGAAAAACGCACTCGGCAAAAGGCGGAAAAAAAAAACCACAAAAAAACCAGATTCCAGAATAAAAATAATACTGATCTTCAATCATCTAAATCTGTAACTCGCTCTCAAATTTCCTCTTTGGAATTTAAGGCTAGACAGATCTAAGGAACGTTCATTTATTGTTAAAAAAAATACATTCTAAATGTACCCCTGCATGTTTTCTGACTCCAGAAATACAACTAATGCAATTTCATCGCGCAATAAGCTTTTTCCTATCGGCTGGTCCTAACGGTCCCTTTTCAGAAATAAAACAGGAGATCATGACAGAATGGGTTCGGTCTTTTTTTTTTTTTTTCTCTTCCCCTGTAGAAACAAAAAAAACCACCATGCTACAACAAGGCGCTTAAACTTTAGTGTTTTGTCAATTCCAATAAAATCCTGCACTAATCTCAACTAGTAATTTCCAGACTTTCTGTCACTGAAACATAAAGGTGCTTTTAAAAATATCCTGGGCTGACGGGGAAAAGAAGGAAGGAAATAAATACCTCCCTCTGCTTCTGGGCTTTCTGCTGCAGCCGGGGGGAAGTGGGGCTGAGGGTCACCTGGGCCGAATGTCCGACCCTGCCCAAATCATCAGCACCAACACAGGTGTCAGCCATGCCAACGAAATCCACCCCACCCCCTTACAGGATCCTAAGAAAAAACTGCCCACCTGAGCCCAGCAACCCCCAGACTGTGAAAGACAATCAAATTCTAGGCCGGGCGCGGCGGCTCACGCCTGTCATCCCAGCACTCTGGGAGGCCGAGGCAGGAGGATCGCTCGAGGTCAGGAGTTCGAAACCAGCCTGAGCAAGAACGAGACCCCGTCTCTACTAAAAAAAATAGAAAGAAATAAGCTGGACAGCTAAAAATATCTGTCTCTATACAATAGACATATATACATACATACATACATACAAATAGACATATATATACTATATAAAATAGACAAATAGACATCTATATAAAATAGCTTTTCTATATAAAAATATATAGAAAAAATCAGCCAGGCATGGTGGCGCATGCCTGTAGTCCCAGCTACTCGGGAGGAGGCTGAGGCAGGAGGATCGCTTGAGCCCAGGAGGTGGAGGTTGCTGTGAGTTTTATACACACTGTGCATGCAACAGCATATACAAGAGGTACACCAAAAAGGAATATATCATCAGATTTAGAGTGTTCCTTTCGAAATGGGGAATTATCAGTGATCCTCTCCAAATCCCCTTTTTTTTTCTATTCTGAATTTTTAAGCCTTATACACAATGAGCACATCATCCTTTAATGATCAGAAACATACATTTTTATTTATTAATTTATTATTTATTTTTTAGACAGAGTCTCGCTTTGTTGCCCAGGCTAGAGTGAGTGCCGTGGCGTCAGCCTCGCTCACAGCAACCTCAGACTCCTGGGCTCAAGCGATCCTCCTGCCTCAGCCTCCTCCCGAGTAGCTGGGACTATAGGCATGCACCACCACGTCCGGCTGATTTTTTCTATATATATTTTTAGTTGGCCAATTAATTTCTTCCTATTTATAGTAGAGACGGGGGTCTCGTTCTTGCTCAGGCTGGTCTCGAACTCCTGACCTCCAGCGATCCTCCCGCCTCGGCCTCCCACAGCGCCGGGATGACAGGCGTGAGCCTCCGTGCCCGGCCAGGGCTCTGTACTTTCTCATTTCTCATTGGACCGTTCCCAAGACACCTTCCTGCAGAACTGGGAATACTAGAACATTCCCAGTTTGTGGCCGGGCGCGGCGGCTCACGGCGCTCTGGGAGGCTGAGGCGGGAGGATCGCTCCAGCTCAGGAGCTCGAAACTTTAAAACGCAGCCACAGCAACAGAGAGCCACGCCGAACTGCGTCCTGGTTCTCACGGGACGGACATACGGGTCCTTGTTCGGTCCCCGAGGAGGGCGACCCGTTCAGACCGGGGTCTCCCCGGCAGGAGCAAACCGAGCTCAGAGGCCACGCAAAGATCACAGTCCGGGGGGGGAGAAGGAGGAAAGGGCATTTATTGAAACCTTAAAATCTGTACCCCCATAATATGCCGAAATAAAAAAAATAATAGTTTGCTCAAAAAAAAAAAGAGAGAGATCACGGAGCCCGCAGAGCGGAGCTGCCCCCGTCTTCCCAGTGCATTCCTTGCAGGGAAAGCAAAACTTTGCTGGCTCCCCTCACTGCAGACCCGGGCGCCTGCAGTCCCCAGCGTGCCGGGCTCTCTGGTGACAATGCCACCTCTCGCACGGGTGACAGTCGAGCGGGGGACACACGCTCACCTGCACAGCCGCCGTCCTGGTCAAAGAAGCCGTCCGGACAGCGGGGCAGGCACCGGCCGGCCAGCAGCACGAGGGGCGGCCCGCAGGCCGTGCAGTTGTGGGGGCTCCTCCCCGCACACCCGGAGCAGGACTCGTGGCACGCTGCGGGGGGGGGGGGACACAAAGCACAGGGACGTTCGTCAGGGAAACCCCGCATGACACAGGCAGCGAGTGGCTCTGCGGCTCCCGTCCACCCTCCCGGGGCTGGACGCGATCTGCACCATCCCAGTTGGGGGCTCACGTCCCCCCCACGCTTCTCTCCACGGGCAGCGACCTCCCGAGAAGCCGGCCGGTCGTGGATCCCACATTAAACCAAGCACAGATGCCGGGAGATGGCCGTTCCCAGGGTCCCACGTTTGTTTCTCCCCGCCCCAGCCCCCGTCTTTGGGGCACCTCGGATAAACCACACGAAAACGTAACACGGGGGCCGGGCGTGGAGGCTCGCGCCTGTGAACCTAGCGCTCTGGGAGGCCGAGGCGGGAGGATCGCTCGAGGTCAGGAGTTCGAGACCAGCCTGAGCAAGAGCGAGACCCCGTCTCTACTGAAAATAGAAAGAAATCAATTGACCAACTAAAAATACATATAGAAAAAAATTAGCCGGGTGCGGTGGCTCACGCCTGTCATCTTAGCGCTCTGGGAGGCCGAGGCGGGAGGATCACTCGAGGTCAGGAGTTTGAGACCAGCAAGAGTGAGACCCCGTCTCTACTAAAAATAGAAAGAAATTAATTGGCCAACTAATATATATATATAGAAAAAAATTAGCCGGCGCGGTGGCTCACGCCTGTAATCTTAGTGCTCTGGGAGGCTGAGACGGGAGGATCGCTCGAGGTCAGGAGTTTGAGACCAGCAAGAGCAAGACCCCATCTTTACTATAAATAGAAAGAAATCAATTGACCAACTAAAAATACGTATAGAAAAAAATTATCCGGGCGTGGTGGCGCATGCCTGTAGTCTCAGCTACTACTCGGGAGGCTGAGGCAGGAGGATCGCTTGAGCCCAGGAGGTGGAGGTTGCTGTGAGCGAGGCTGACGCCACGGCACTCACTCTAGCCCGGGTGACAGAGTGAGACTCTGCCTCAAAAAAAAAAAAACCCAAATCGAAAATCACTTCTGTAACAACATGGGCCAAAATTCAAAAATAAAATAAAACAGAAAGAGAGACAGACATAAGAAGTACTGTGCTCGCTCTCTCTCTCTCTCTTCCCCCCCCCTTGTACTTTCCCTGGTCCAGCAGGGCCAGACACTGTAATTAATTCCCTTAGGGGATTTGGGGCTTGCCAGGAAGTCCAAGGAGCTGGAGGAAGCCTGTCTGGGAACCCGACACCCTCTGGCGAGATCTGAGAAGCAATTAAACAGGGAGCAGAAAACTCTCCCTCCCCACCCCGAGCCTGGGTCCCCCAGGAAGGTGCTCTCCGCCCTCCTGCAACACGGGGTGCAGCCAGACCACAGGGAGGATATGGCTGCCTGGTTTCTGCCTCTGGAAGGCAGTGGGCTCTGGGGTCCGCAGAGATTCCCACGCCCCACACGTGACCCTGAAAACAGAGCTGGGGGAGTTTACGTGGCCACACATAAGAGTCTGGGCAACGCCTGTGAGGGCAGAAACCGGGATGTCTGAAGACGTGAGACCCAACCCCAGTTTCTTTTTTTCTTTGGGGGGGGGACAGCGTCTCACTCTGTCGCCTAGGCTAGAGTGAGTGCCGTGGCGTCAGCCTCGCTCACGGCAACCTCAGACTCCTGGGCTCAAGCGATCCTCCTGCATCAGCCTCCTCCCGAGTAGCTGGGACTACAGGCATGCGCCACCATGCCCAGCTAATTTTTTCTATATATATATTTTAGTTGGCCAATTAATTTCTGTCTATTTATAGTAGAGACGGTCTCTCTCTTGCTCCGGCTGGTCTCGAACTCCTGACTTTGAGCGATCCCCTGGCCTCGGCCTCCCAGAATGCTGGGACAATTGGCGTGAGCCACCGCGCCTGGCCTGAAAGGATTTTTGTCTGGAACTTCTGAGAATGTAACTCTGTGCAGGAACTGACTCTTTTTTTTTTCTTGAGACAGAGTCTCACTCTGTCGCCCGGGCTAGAGTGAGTGCCGTGGCGTCAGCCTCGCTCACAGCAACCTCCAACTCCTGGGCTCAAGCAATCCTCCTGCCTCAGCCTCCTCCCGAGTAGCTGGGACTACAGGCATGCGCCACCACGCCCGGCTAACTTTTTTCCATATATATTATTTGGCCAATTAATTTCTTTCTATTTACAGTAGAGACGGGGTCTCGCTCAGGCTGGTCTCGAACTCCTGACCTTGAGCGATCCTCCCGCCTCGGCCTCCCAGAGTGCTGGGATGACAGGCGTGAGCCTCCTCGCCCGGCCTGGAACCGGCTCTTTAAGGCCGGCCGTCTGTCATCCACAGAGGGTGGGGGCCCGGTGGGGGTCGCCAATCTGCGCGTGTGTGGCCTGCTCCACCCACGGCGTCCTGGGACCATCTCATCCACGGGAAACACGGTCTCCCGGCTTTGGTCCTATCCAGCAGGCCCTCCTAGGAGGTGATCCCAGAGGCTGCCCGGCGTCTTCCGGGGCCTGGCTTGCTTACCTGCGCATAGCCCCGTGCTCTCCAGGTAGAACCCGGCTGCACACCGGGAGAGACAGGCCCCAGAGGGGGCCCCTGGCCCGGACGGCTGCTCCACCTGCAGCCCTTCCTCCGGCTTCCTGCAGCCGGTGCATTGGGAGGGCCCCGGGCCCACGCAGCTCAGGCAGGAGGGGTGGCAGGCTGCAGACAAAACGAAAGGCAGAGTCAGCTCGGAGCTCACGACCAGTGCAAGCCCCTCGTCCAATCAAAGCCCCTTACAAAAGTTCCCCAAGTGCACCCTATCAGCCCACTATTTTTCTAGTGCTCTGCAAGGAGCTCAGAGTGATACCGTGTTTCTCCAGAAATGAGACAGGGTCTTCTATTTATCTTTCCTCCAGAAGACACCATAGGGCTGATTTTCAGCGGTTGTGTTATTTTTTTTTTTTTTTAAAGTATGGTACAGCCATCTGCACTGATTCAAATAGAGTGAAGTCGTCTTCTTCTGGAACATCATCCTCACTCTCCAGACCCCGAATCCCGTCCTGAATGTCTTGCGACTCTGTTTCCTTTAGAGCCACCTGCCCCAATCTCTCCTGTCGAGCACTAGAGCTCTCACGGGGCGGATGAGAAGGGCTGCTCGTGTTCTTTCCCGCTCCGTGACGACACGCATGGGTCGTGCAGATGCGCTGCGCAGCCACGCCCATCACTAGGGCTGATTTTCATAGCCACGCCCATCACTAGCGCTGATTTTCATAGCCACGCCCATCACAGGGCTGATTTTTATAGCCGCCCAACCTAGGACTGACTTCCAGCCACACGCCATCACTGGGGTTGATTTTCATAGCCACGCCCACCACTGGGGCTGATTTTCATAGCCACGCCCACCACCGGGGCTGATTTCCATAGCCACGCCCACCACCGGGGCTGATTTTCGGTTTAGGGCTTCTATTGGGCACGTGCTCAGACATCCTGCTTGGCTTGTTTTACGGGTGGGTCTTATTTTCGGGGAAACACGGTAATGACGTTTGTAGAAGGAAAAGTGAGGGCGTGGTGACCAGGCACAGCACGTAGGGCCCGGAAGGGCTGTCAGCCTTGATCAAGAAAACCCAGCAAGCCGGGCAGAACTGCCTTGGTTCTCCAGAGAAACACATCTGCTGGAATCCGATTTAACATCATGCCCTTGGTTTTTTATTGTTGAAGATTTTTAGAGGCGTCCGTACGAAGGCCATTACCGTATCTTTTGCAAAAATGGTTTTTGTGTTATTATCCATCAGCTGTCCATCGTTGAGTCTATCGGGGACCAGGCAGCAAACTCCTCTTACCATTTATGCGGGGGAAGGCTGCTTTTCGGGACGAGGAAGAAGCCTTCCTTGAGCAGCAATGAAAATCTTGCAACCCGGCCATATTTTGTTGTTCCTGGCTGCCGGTGAAAGTCAAAGCTAAAGACGGTACTCAAACCATCTCCTGCCCACGCTTTGATGCGATCAGCTACCCGGTTCTCTAAAAGATTCTCTCTGAATTTTCTTTCTCAAAATATTTGTTGCGGCCTTCCTGTTTCAAATACATTTTTCTTTTTTTTCCTTTTTTTTTTTTTTGAGACACAGTCTCGCTTTGTTGCCCAGGCTAGAGTGGGTGCCGTGGCGTCAGCCTCGCTCACAGCAACCTCCAACTCCTGGGCTCAAGCGATCCTCCTGCCTCAGCCTCCCAAGTGGCTGGGACTACAGGCATGCGCCGCCATACCCGGCTAATTTTTTTCTATATATATATTAGTTGGCCAATTAATTTCTTTCTATTTATAGTAGAGAAGGGGTCTCGCTCTTGCTCAGGCTGGTTTTGAACTCCTGACCTCGAGCAATCCGCCTACCTCGGCCTCCCAGAGTGCTGGGATTACAGGCGTGAGCCTCCGCGCCCGGCCTCAAATTCATTTTTCTCGTAACCACTCTCAAACTGCTTTCTAAAAGAGCCCTACGTACAAACAAATACAAATTCATTTCGCTTAATTAAAGTGTTTGCTCGCAATGTTCCGGTTTCCAAACGCTTAAACGATGCCTCCTCCCCCTTGGAGCCCACAGCCTTTCTGGCAGACGGCCCTTTAAGATTTCCCATTCCGCTCAGCCGAGACGAGAGGCATCGCTGGCGACCGGCTCTCTGTCTGCTCGGCGGTGACATTAACGGGAAGAGATTCTCCGGGGAGAAACAGAATGAAGTCTGAGCAAAACCTCGGCAGCCTCAGGAGAGCAGAGAGAGGAGGAATACGCGATCCATCCCTCGCTCTCGTGCACGCTAACAGAAATTAACGCCTGCCGTGAGAGCAGCCAGAGAAACCCACGGACGTCCGCGGGTCTTCGCAGGTTTCGGAATGCGACTTTTGCAGATCGTCCCTTCCCAAAATCTCTGTGGGTGGGAAAGGGCACACAGGGGACGCACGAGCACAAAACGCACGCCGGCGGAGCACCGGCCCGGGAACACGTGGCGTTAAGGGGAAAAGGCAGCCCTGTGCCCTGGTGACCGGACGGCCCCCAAGCTGGCCGGCGACACCCACGGTACCTTTGCAGACCCCGCGGTCGGGGTAGAAGCCGTCTCCACAGCTGGACAGACAGCGTCCCTGGCGAAGGGCGTGTGCGGACGCGCAGGCTGTGCACTGGGAGGCGGCCGGCCCCGAGCAGCGGGCGCACGAGCCGTGACAGGCTGCGGGAGAGAGCGAGAGGGGCACCCTGGGACGCGGGAACCTGCAGGGCCGGCCACCCGCCAGAAAACCCCCTCGGTGAGGCTCCGGTCAAAGGAAGAGAGGAGGGCGGGGCGCGGTGGCTCACGCCTGTCATCCCGACACTCTGGGAGTCCGAGGCGGGAGGATCGCTCCAGGTTAGGAGTTCGAGACCAGCCTGAGCAAGAGCGAGACCCCCGTCTCTACTAGAAATAGAAAGAAATTAATTGGCCAACTAATATATATATAGAAAAAATGAGCCGGGTGTGGTGGCGCATGCCTGTAGTCCCAGCTACTCGGGAGGAGGCTGAGGCAGGAGGATCGCTTGAGCCCAGGAGTTGGAGGTTGCTGTGAGCGAGGCTGACACCACGGCACTCACTCTAGCCCGGGCGACAAAGGGAGACTCTGTCTCAAAAAAAAAACTGGGAAGATAGGACTCAGGACGTGGTTACACAGCCAGAACCACTCACGATACACTCCTCCCACCTTCATCCACTTTCCACGTGCTATGTATTTATTTGTTTACTTTACTTTGTTTTTTAAGACAGAGTCTCACTCTGTTGCCCGGGCTAGAGTTAGTGCTGTGGCGTCAGCCTCGCTCACAGCAACCTCCAACTCCTGGGCTCAAGGGATCCTCCTGCCTCAGCCTCCTCCGGAGTAGCTGGGACTACAGGCATGCACCACCACGCCCGGCTCATTTTTCTGCTTTTTGGTGGAAACAGAATCTCGATTTTGCTCTGGCTGATCTCCAACCTCTGACCTCAAGCAACCCTCTTGCCCCAGCCTCCCAGAGTGCTAGGATGACAGGCGTGAGCCACCTCACCTGGCCCTGACTATTGTTTATCAGCTACCCTTTATCTAGTGTTTGTATTAAGTGCTTTACACATTGTTGCCTGTAATTCTCATTAACAACATTATAATGTAGGCATTTTTTTTTTTTTTCTTTCTGAGACAGAGTCTCACTCTGTGGCCCGGGCTAGAGTGAGTGCCGTGGCGTCAGCCTCGCTCACAGCAACCTCAGACTCCTGGGCTCAAGCCATCCTCCTGCCTCAGCCTCCCGAGTAGCTGGGACCACAGGCATGCGCCACCATGCCTGGCTAATTTTTTCTATATATATTCTTAGTTTGCCAATTAATTTGTTTCTATTTTTTAGTAGAGACGGGGTCTCGCTCTTGCTCAGGCTGGTCTCAAACTCCTGACCTTTAGCGATCCTCCTGTTGGTCTCGAACTCCTGACCTTGAGCGATCCTCCCGCCTCGGCCTCCCAGAGTGCTGGGATGACAGGCGTGAGCCACTGGCCCACTGGATCATTCTAGTCCCCCCAGCATCCACTGGTCTCTCCCACCCACACAGCAAACACACGCAGGTTCCATGATGAGAAACCCACCCCTTTGCAATGACATCTCCCCATCAGGAACACGTATTCCCGCGTGAGCAGGGTAGGGACCATGCACTGAAGACTCCCCCGTCTCTTACCTCTGCACCTGCCCGCGGCGTCTGCGTAGTGCCCGCCCGGGCAGGCGGACAGGCAGGTCCCGTTGAGCAGCATGGTCCCCCCAGCACAGGCCAGACAGCTGGGGCCGCCGGGGCCACAGCTCCTGCAGGACGGGCCGCAGGCTGGGGAGGGAAGCGGCAGGGAGGGTCACAGAGCGCGAAGGCAGCCGCAGGGGTGTTGGCACAGAGATCCTCACTCAGGTCCTGTGCAGAGCTCTGTGCCGTCATCCCACCATTTCTTTTTCTTCTGGAGACTGAGTCTCACTCTGTCGCCCGGGCTAGAGTGAGTGCCGTGGCGTCAGCCTCGCTCACAGCAACCTCAGACTCCTGGGCTCAAGCGATCCTCCTGCCTCAGCCTCCTCCCGAGGAGCTGGGACTACAGGCATGCGCCACCACACCTGGCTAATTTATATATATACTATATATATATATATATTAGTTGGCCAATTAATTTCTTTCTAATTTTATAGTAAGAGACGGGGTCTCACTCTTGCTCAGGCTGGTCTCGAACTCCTGACCTCGAGCCGATCCTCCCGCCTCAGCCTCCCAGAGTGCTGGGATGACAGGCGTGAGCCCACCGCGCCCCGGCCTGCATACTCAAACATTTTTAAGACACACCTAAAGTAATATTTAGAGAGGAAATTGTAGCTTTAAATAAAATTATTAGGAAGATGTGCATTGCTTCCCAAGCTAATCTATAATTTCAATACAATACCATTAAAAATTCCGGTTGCATTTTCTTAGGAATTCAATAAATGCACTCAGAGTCCATGAATTGCTAAGTCAACTTTGAACAGGAAAAAGGGAATTTTCCAATCAGATGTTGAGACATACCACAGAGCAATAGAAATTAATGAGCAAAGAAATGAGATGGTGAACAAGACAAGAAATTTAGACTAGGAATGTTTAGAAACTTCCATGTCTTATAGTTCAGACAGACCCATGTATATATGGAAATTTAACAGACAATAAAGATATAAATAATAGAGATGGTTAGATTGAATTACTAGATACATGTTGGAAAAACTGGATCACAAAACGGAGAAAATCAAACTGGATCCCTACTTAAACCCATATACATAATTGGACTCCAGAATGATTGACAGCCTAAGATAAAACCATGAAATTAATAAAGAAAATGTAGAATAATTGGGTGTGAATGTTAGCAGAGTAGACTTTTTAAACAAAAATTCAAAAGCAAAACTTACAGCAAAAAAAAAAAAAAAAAATTGGCAGGTTAAAGATTTCAGTTCAACAAAAGGCGCCAGATTCAGAGTTAAAAGACAACAGAATGGGAACTATTTGCATATTTAATATTGCAAAGAGTTAATGTCTACCAGAACAAGGAACTCCACAAAACGAACTCCGCAGAAGGCCGCAAGGACAATAGAAAAATGGGAAAAGCACATGGAAAAGCAATTTATAAAGGGGACCACTCAAGGTCCAATAGGAGTTGAAGACGTGCTCAAACTCATTAAAAATCAAAATATGCATATTAAATGGAATGACCCTCTATACTCACTGACCAGAAAAAAAAATCAGGAGCTTCATAATGACAAATGGTGGCAAGGAAGAGACCACCCACACGCTTGGGAGTGCGGAGTGCCCAGCCCCCAGCACTACTTAGTCAGATAAAGAACATTCAGGCCGGGCGCCGTGGCTCACGCCTGTCATCCCAGCACTCTGGGAGGCCCAGGCGGGAGGATCGCTCGAGGTCAGGAGTTCGAGACCAGCCTGAGCAAGAGCGAGACCCCTGTCTCTACTAGAAATAGAAAGAAATTAATTGGCCAACTAATATATATATAGAAAAAAATTAGCCGGGCACGGTGGCCCATGCCTGTAGTCCCAGCTACTCGGGAGGAGGCTGAGGCAGGAGGATCGCTTGAGCCCAGGAGTTGGAGGTTGCTGTGAGCGAGCTGACGCCACGGCACTCACTCTAGCCGGGGCGACAGAGCGAGACTCTGTCTTAAAAAACAAACAACAAACAAACAAAAAAACCCCAGTTCAGATAAACCTCATAAAGAAAAAAAGAAAGAAAAATTAAATGGTTGCATGGGTGAGAAAGAGAAATGAGAATTCACAAAAGAGAGAGTGCAGAGAGGAGGAGAGAGGAGGAAAAGGGAGAAAGAATGGCCAACGGAAACTCTGACCCCGCTCTGATTTATTGTGTTAGCTGGAGCCAAGAAAAAGCCCTTCACAACAGCACAAGTACTTGAAGGACAAAAGAACAGGGAGGTTTGTTGTGGTTTTTTTCCCCATTTACATCTAATATTTGCACAACCCGGAACACATACGGCCGGTGAACTCGGTTACCGGAGTTCTTTCAGCCGCTGCAAACCGACATTCCTCACGGGCCTCGCCCAATTTCTCTCCCGCCTGGCTTTGAGATCGCTGCAGATTACTGGGGCCTGCTG